ACATGTTCTAACTACGATATTTTAGGAGATACTGCAGTATAAATAGCAACATGTCATAAATAAGGTTATCAAAACAAAAAAACAGGTCATAAACTAATGATGGTTCAAATTAATAAGGGTTGAAAAGTTCAATTAACAAGCATTTCTCGACTAAAAAGTAGTTTTTTAGTAGTATTATAAACATAGTAGCATTACATAATTCAGAACTATGCTAATAATAATATAATGGAGAAATTTTGTCGGCATACCGCGTTTATAAAGCAAAAGATCTGCACACAATAGGCTGTGCCAAAATGAAGTTAAGAACGATGAACACGCACAACGATGAACAGCAGATATTATCAAGAACACTGAACATTGTCTAGTCAAAGGGTTCCCATGACAAAAGAAGATATTTAGTAGGAACGTTGAACGAATAGATATTTAATTAAAAGTTCACCAGAATACTAACACTGAGAATTATCAAGACAAGAAAGATATTTAGTTGGGGCAATGAACAAGAAGATATTTACTTAAAGTTCGCTACAAAACTAATACTGAGAATTAGCATTGACGAGTATGTAATCAACACAACAATAATCCATAAGTCTCTCCATGGCTTGACACATCAGCATTTTCAAGTTTTTAGGAGATGACACTTCAGCAAAAAAAAATACCAATAAAAACATTTCATTAATACAAGTCATCAATATATTTTAACTTTTAAATTTAAACTCATTAAAAACCAAAATATTTTTATTGTTGATTTTAGTTTTATTTTTTGGTCAAGCCTAAGCCCAAATAATAAATAATAGCAAATAAAAAAAAATTGTTTTATTTTTTTGCCAAACCCAAATAATAAATAACAACAACTAATAAAATTAAATCTATGTTTTATATTTTTGCCAAACCGAAACTCAAATAATAAATAACAGCAAAAAAAATTAAAATTTATACCTATGTGTTTGCTTGATAGATACGTATATGATTGAAGAAAGTGTAAACTCATCATCAACTATGCTTTCATAACAACAATGCAAAAAGCGTTATGTTATAAGAAGCTCACACATCAGAAAAAATTTGAACCAGTAAAAACATAACAATAATACATATTATTAACACACTAATAAAATCAATTTACTATTTTGCTGACCCATTAAAAAGCTCAAAGTTTACAAAACAAAAAATGGAAGGCGAAAGCAAATGAGGAGAAACTCAGACCACCACAGTTTGGAGATTCGCATTTCCACTGGTTACTGAGAACAAATTTTCTTGGGTTTGGCGGAAATAGAGAATTTCTTGGTTTTGGTAGAAAAATGTGATTTTCATTTTTGGTAGGAAAACATAGTTTCTCGGTTATGGCGGAAAAAAGCGAATTCTCGGGTTGGCGGAAAAATGTGAATTTTTGGTTTTGGTGAGAAATAAAAAATTTGATTTTGACGAGAAAATGCGAGGGAAATGCAACTTTTCAATTTTGACGAAAATTACAATTTCTCGGTTTTGATAGAAAATACAATTTTTCGGCTTTTGATAAATAATATAATTTCTTGATTTTTACGGAAAATTGTAATTTGACAATTTTGGCAGAAAATATAATTTTTCGGGTTAATAGAAAAGCAAATTTTCTCGATTTTGGCGGGAATAAACAATTTTTTGGTTTTGATGGGAAATGCAAATTTTCAGTTTTTGACAATAATTTGAATTTTTGGTTTTCGAGGGAAAATATAATTTTTTAGTTTTTGCGGGAAACGCAATTTCTCATGAGATAATGCAATTTTTGGTTTTCGCGGAAAATTGTAGTTTATCGGTTTTGGTAGAAAAACGTGATTCTTGATTTGATGAGAAAAATAATTTGTTCTTGTTTTGGTGGGAATAGACGATTTTTGCGGAAAAATATCTTTTTGGTTTTGACGGGAAAATACTATTTTTCTTGTTTTTGCAGGAAGATGAATTTTTTTGGTTTTAGTGAAAAAACTTGATTTCTCTGTTTTGATGGGAAAACACAGGTTCTCGCGGGAAAATGTAATTTTTTAGTTTTTGAGGGAAAATATAATTTCTTTATTTTGGTAGTAAAATGAAATTTCAGGTTTGACGAGAAAATGAATTTTTTTGGTTTTGGGGGGAATACGCGATTTCTCAGTTTTTTGGAAAAATATATTTTTTTGTTTTGTCGAAAAATGCAATTTCTCGGTTTTTGTAAAATGATAAAATTTTTCTGTGCTAATTTTCAAAGTTACAATATGTTTATAGTAACCAAAATTGAATTATTTAACTTCAACTAAATTGATATTTCAACAGTTCAAATAGAACTTTCTATTTAGTTTAAAAGTAATAGTAATGATTTTGATATGAATGTTATTAATTATAGTTTGGTAGTTTTAGAAACATATGTCTATATAAATATTTGATAAACAAATAAATTTTATAGTTCAAAATAATTATATTAATTAATATTTTTTAAATAGCAATTTGCTTTATATAATTTCAAAAAAGGATCAAGTAGCAATTTAGTAGTGAAAATAAATTATATTTACCATTAGCATGAAGGTACTTAAAAATGTATTGTTTTATTCTTACATATACATTTATAGATAGTTAGCTAAACAAATTTGATAGAAGATTATAATTTTAAAAAATTAAAAAATTAATGATATATAATATTTATTCAGATTTAAAACATATAAATACATATTTTAAGCTAATAAAAAATAAATATAATACTCATTTACATTATAGAAATAATTTTATTATATTAAAAATATATACAAATCTAGAAAAAATATCCTGCAGCGTAGCGCGGATAAATAACTTAAATAATAAGTTCCACCAAAGATAGTCACAAAAATTCAACACCATTGGATCCAAACAATTTCCACATCATAAATGCATCCAGCAAATTTTTTATTTGAAAATTCCCAGACCTGGTCCAAGTCACGTTAGTTCACTTTATCAAGAATCAACACAAGACAAACATGTTATATATATATATATATATTAAAAAATAAAAAGTTTTCTATTTTAAAGTGAGACAAAAAGAAAAGATTGCAAAATTCAATATTAAAACTGTGATAGTGTACCTATGCTTTATGGGCAAAAATGAATAATCAGCATTTAAGAATTCATCAAACTGATAACGCTATTTTTCTTTAATTATAGAAATTATCTTTTTTGGTGGGAATAGACGATTTTTGTGGAAAAATATCTTTTTGGTTTTGACAGAAAAATACTATTTTTTTGTTTTTGCAGGAAGATGAATTTTTTTGGTTTTGGTGAAAAAACTTGATTTCTCTGTTTTGATGGGAAAACACAGGTTCTCGCGGGAAAATGTAATTTTTTGGTTTTTGAGGGAAAATGTAATTTCTTTGTTTTGGTAGGAAAATGAAATTTCAGCTTTGACGAGAAAATGAATTTTTTTGGTTTTGGCGGGAATAGGCGATTTTTCAGTTTTGTGGGAATATATATTGTTTTTTGTTTTGTCGGAAAATGCAATTTCTCGGTTATTGTAAAATGATAAAATTTCTCTGTGCTAATTTTCAAAGTTACAATATGTTTATAGTAACCAAAATTGAATTATTTAACTTCAACTAAATTGATATTTCAACAGTTCAAATAGAACTTTCTATTTAGTTTAAAAGTAATAGTAATGATTTTGATATGAATGTTATTAATTATAGTTTGGTAGTTTTAGAAACATATGTCTATATAAATATTTGATAAACAAAAAAAAATTATAGTTTAAAATAATCATATTAATTAATATTTTTTTAAATGCCAATTTACGTTATATAATTTCAAAAGAGGATCAAGTAGCAATTTAGTAGTGAAAATAAATTATATTTACCATTAGCATGAAGATACTTAAAAATGTATTGTTTTATTCTTAAATATACATTTATAGATAGTTAGCTAAACAAATTTAATAATAGATTATAATTTTAAAAAATTAATGATATATAATGTTTATTCAGATTTAAAACATATAAATACATATTTTAAGCTAATAAAAAATAAATATAATACTCATTTATATTATAGAAATAATTTTATTATATTAAAAATATATACAAATCTAAAAAAAATATCACACAACGTAGTGCGGGTAAATAGCTAGTTAAATAATAAGTTCCACCAAAGATAGTCATAGAAATTCAACACCATTGGATCCAAACAATTTCTACATCATAAATGCATCCAGCAAATTTTTTATTTGAAAATTCCCAGACCTGGTCCAAGTCACGTTAGTTCACTTTATCAAGAATATATATATATATATATATATATATATATATTAAAAAATAAAAAGTTTTCTATTTTAAAGTGAGATAAAAAGAAAAGATTTCAAAATTCAATATTAAAACTGTGATAGTGTACCTATGCTTTATGGGCAAAAATGAACAATCAGCATTCAAGAATTCATCAAACTGATAAAGCTATTTTTCTTTAATTATAGAAATTATCAGTCCGACATCAATCAGCAAGCATCTTGAGCTATATATAAGGCCACTTTGAAATCCCTAAAACTTTAAGAAGCAATAACCAAACAAAGCCAAGCAAAACAGAGCTAAAAGACTATGATCCTAAGCTTTTTCAAAAGAGTAAGAAAAATGTCTGCAAACGATTTATCTTCTTCCGCTCAAGCCTTCCAAGAACAAGTCCTTGGTGGTTTTGTCTCTAGAAAGCTGCTTCTGCACAACCCATTTGACCACAACACTCAACGAGCTATTGAGATCCAACCATCTTCTCTCATTACACATGACAACAACCTCAGTAGTAATGTCCTGATGCTTCTCTCAGTCCTTATCTGTGGCATCACCTGCTGCGTCGGGTTACACTACATCATTCGTTGTGCAATTAGACGTTCTTCGAATATCATGATCTCTGAGCCTATCTCAAACCCTTCAACACCACACGGTTCACCAAACAAAGGAATCGCAAAGAAAGTACTTAGGATGTTCCCGGTCGTGAGTTACTCACCTGAGATGAACCTCCCGGGGCTTGGCGAAGAGTGTGTCATCTGTTTGTCAGATTTTGTTTCCGGTGAAAAGCTCAGGCTGCTCCCTAAGTGCAACCACGGGTTCCATGTTCATTGCATCGACAAGTGGCTTCAACAACATTTGACTTGTCCGAAATGCAGACACTGTCTAGTTGAGACATGCCAAAAGATCTTAGGTGACTCCAGTCAAGTGATGGAAACACCAAGAGAGAGTGTAATTGTCATGATTGCTCCTCTAGAACCTGAAGGAAGAGTAAACACTTTTAGATAGGAGACTTCAACTTTTTTATGTCTTTTCTTTTTTATTGCCTATAGCACAAAATGTATACAAAGAGAATATTTCTCACTTTTCAATAGCATTTTACTAAGTTACAATCACTACACATAACAAAAAAAAGTCAAAAAGTCACTAGACAGAATAAATGGTCCCAATAATAAATGTCAAGATTAGTTTAGTCCACGAAATGCAATTACGGTCCAGACTTGATCACATTACTGTAAGTGTGGTAACTTAATGATTTGTTATTCACATTAGCAGTAGCTTATATACACAATACATATACGATCTCAACAAGAGATTTGATACAGAGAAGATTTTATTCTATCAACACAAGATCTTTGGAGCATATTAAGAATATCCGGAATATACTAACATTTTTCCTCAAGATTGACCATTATGTAATGATATTAGCTCTTTCAAATCAACATACAGAAAATAAATTATTTTTATTAAGAGAGTAAAAATTAACATGTTGTTAGAAGCATTTTAGAGTCTATTGAAATTATATATTATGAAAGTGAAGTTCGGTTAGCTAAGAGAGAGTGTTCAATATATTCAAATAATATAATTCAATGATTTTATTTGGATGTTCAATATCATTTTCTTGAATTCTTATATAAATATTTTTTTTAAAAACAATATGTATCATTCTTTTGGTCACGTTAAATAGAGTTTCATTTTTTTCTATTTTTTCTTCTCTAACATAAAGAATGTAACATCAATGCAAAGGTGCACGTATAAAGAAATGGCCATTAAAATTTGCATCTTAAGTTTTAGGTTTGGTTATAAAGTAAAATTTACAATTTTAAATAGATTCTGTTTTTCACGTAATTCAGTAATATATCATATTTGCATATATATTATTATTATTATTATTATTATTATTATTATTTTTTTTTTTTTTTTTTTTTTTTTATATATGCTTATATTTTTCTTAGATTTTGTATATGTTTTGCTCATTTTTTCCTTTATGGAGCTTCACTTATTTCACCTGAATGTTTTGAATTGAAGGTTTTAGAAACGAAAAGAATCTAATGAAAAGATTATTTGACGAAATTTCGCTAGAAGGGTCATGGTATCTTCTTCCGCCGGGGTTCCTCCCAAGGATCCACAAGAGGAACCAGACACTGAACTGTCTGAAACATATATGGTCTACTCTCAACCTGCTGAGATGTGCAGTATCTAGCCCATAATCCAATCTTCTTGATGCACTCTATGGTCTCTTGGTCGTTTGCTATGTTCCATTCAATCGAGTCCAGGAAACTTATATCTTTGATCTTCGGACTCAGCCACATCACCAAGTTTCCCTCATCCTCGCTCATTCCAGTGATTATCTCCATTAGGAACACCCCAATGCATAGACGTCCGCCTTTTTTGTTACCCTTCTACTAGCTACATATATAATTTTAAAAACAATTAGCAAATACACTTATAGACGTTTAAAAATGAAATGAATTTATAGAATTTAACTTACAACGTAGTGCGGGTTTTAGTAGCCGAAGGTTCCTGCCACTTTTGCTGTCTCAACTGAGCTACTCCCTCGGGTGCGACGATCATACATCCAAAATCTGAAATCTTCGCTCTCATCCCATCTCCTATGAGTATGTTGGATGGCTCAAGTCTCTGTGGATGTAGTTTTTTCTCGGTAGGCCCTGAAGATACTGAATCCCCTTCGCTTCATATTCACTCATATCGCTTTGCTACTTGAGAAATAAGTGAATGAACATAATATTTTTTGTTGAAGTTAATTCAGTATATCACTTTTCGCATCCACGAAACTTAAAATTGTTCAAAAGCTTACGATATTAGCTCTGTCAAATCAACATACAGAAAATAAATTTTTTTTATTAAGAGAGTAAAAATTAACATGTTGTTAAAGTATTTTAGAGTCTATTGAAATTATATATTACGAAAGTGAAGTTTTACATCGGTTAGCTAAGAGAGAGAGTTTTCAATATATTCAAATAATATAATTCAGTGATTTTATTTGGATGTTCAATATCATTTTTTGAATTCTTATATAAATATATTTTTTAAAACAATATGTATCATTCTTTTGGTCACGTTAAATAGAATTTCATTTTTTTCTATTTTTTTTCCTCTCTATCATAAAGAATGTAACATCAATGCAAAGGTGCACGTATAGAGAAATGGCCATTAAAATTTGCATTTTAAGTTTTAGGTTTGGTTATAAAATAAAATTTATAATTTTAAATAGATTCTGTTTTTCACGTAATTCAGTAATATATCATATTGCGTATATATTATTATTATTATTATTATTATTATTATTATTTTCTTATATATGCTTATAATTTTCTTAGATTTTGTATATGTTTTGCTCATTTTTTCCTTTATGGAGCTTCGCTTATTTCACCTGAATGTTTTCAATTGAAAGTTTTAGAAACAAAAAGAATCTAATGAAAATATTATTTGACGAAGTTTCGCTAGAAGAGTCATGGTATCTTCTTCCGCAGGGGTTCCTCCCAAGGCTCCACAAGAGGAACCAGATCTGTTCTACTCTCAACCTGCTCAGATGTACAGTATCTAGCCCATAATCCAATCTTCTTGATGCACTATATGGTCTCTTGGTTGTTTGCTATGTTCCGTTCAATCGAGTTCAGGAAACTTGTATCTTTGATCTTCGGACGCATTATGTAATTATCATGATTGCTCCTCTAGAACCTGAAGGAAGAGTAAACACTTTTAGATAGGAGACTTCAACTTTTTTTTATGTCTTTTTTTTTTTTTTGCCTGTAGCACAAAATGTATACAGAGAGAATATTTCTCACTTTTCAATAGCATTTCACTGAGTTACAATCCTTACACATAACCAAAAAAAGTCAAAAATTCACTAGACATAATAAATGGTCCTAGTAATGAATGCCAAGATTAGTTTAGTCCACGAAATGCAATTACGGTCTAGACTTGATCACGTTACTGTAAGTATGGTAACTTGATGATTTGTTATTCATATTAGCCGTAGCTTATATACACGATACATATACGATCTCAACAAGAGATTTGATACAGAGAAGATTCAATTCTATCAACACAAGATCTTTGGAGCATATTAAGAAAATCCAGAATATACTAACATCTCCCCTCAAGATGGACCACTGGAACGGAGTCCAATCTTGTCTATAAGCTGTTGAAACTTCGGACGTGGCAAAGGTTTGGTCAGAGCATCAGCTAGTTGGTCAGCTGAGCAAACATAGGAGACACGAAATGAACCATCTTGAACCTGGTCCCGAACAAAATGGTAATCCAGAGCCACATGTTTCATATGTGTGTGAAAGACAGGATTTGCAGATAATTGTGTTGCGCAAATATTGTCACAGTAAATCGTCGGTGTTTCCGTGAGCTTAATCCCAAGTTCGTTCGCAACATAGCCGACCCAATAAAGTTCTGTAGCAGTGCCTGCAACAGAATGATACTCTGCCTCCGTAGAGGACTGAGCAACTGTCTTCTGCTTGCAAGAGGCCCACGAGACGGGTTGCATGCCGAGATATACAATATACGCACCAGTAGAGGTATAATCATCACGATTCCCAGTTCAATCTGCGTCTGAATATGCATGGACAGATAGGGGAGTCGGCGCCGAGAAGAATATACCTCGAGTGACTATTCCTGCCAGATAACGAAGAATCCTTTTAATAGCTTCTCAATGAGCATCTGTGGGAGTGCATAAACTGCGAGAGACGATTCACGGTGAAGGAGATGTCCGGTCTTGTTAGGCCGAGGTATTGCAGACTTCCCACCGTTGCCCTGAATTGAGTGGGACCGTCAAGAGGAGTGCTAAGTGACGTCGTAAGGATCTGAGAAGAACACATTAGAGTTTCCACAGGTTTGGCGTTCTCCATCTTCGTGCGATGTAGAAGATCAGTAATATAGCGCTGCTGAGTAAGCCGGAGGACATTGGTGTCACGATGAGCTTTTAAGCCTAGAAAGAATGAGAGCTTGCCAAGATCCTTGAGAGAAAACCGAGCTGCAATAGTTGTAATGAAGTCATTCACCAAGTGAACAGAGCTGCCCGTGACCACAATATCATTGACGTAGATGAGGACATAAACAAAATTAGATCCCATCTTCAGAATGAATAATGAGGCATCACCAAGAGACATAGTCAAGCCGGCTCCCAACAGAAATGTTTTGAGTTCATTGTACCATGCTCTATGGCCTGTTTTAACCCATAAAAAACTTTCTTCATGCGACAGACGTGATCCGGTTTGTCTTTGTCAACGAACCTCGGAGGGTGAATCATGTACACTTCTTCATTCAAGATCCCTTGAAGGAACATATGATTGACATTCCAGCTGTCGTAGGGGTCAATCACGAGCCACAGCCACACCAAGAACTAATCGGATGGTAGCATGTTTGATGACTGGACTGAAAGTGTCATGAAAATCAATTCCTGGTTGCTGATGGAACCCCTTAGCCACCAGTATCGCCTTAAACATGTCAACATAAACATCAGGTAAGCGTTTAATTGTAAAGACTCACTTACAGCCTATAATATTTTGAGCTGCAGTTCATGGTGTGAGATCCCAAGTTCCTTTACGAATCTGATTGTCAATCTCAACGCCCATAGCTCACCAATGCTCATCACGTAACGCCTCTGCCACTGTTCGAGTCTCCGTCTTATGGAGTTGAGCAATCCCTGCATACATGGGATTGGGTTTGTGAATGTTATTCATAACCCGAGTTGTCATGTCACGAGTGGGCACAGAGGTGTTCCGTTGACGATTTCGGTGAGTGGGCACAAGAGTGGGAGCCGCTATAGGTGAAACAGATTCCTATGATTCTGGTTCCGTAACTGATGGTGAGGGATCCGAGCTCAGGGGCGTAGGCTCAATGAGTGATGCCGGGCGATAGATAGGAACAATGGAAGCTGAGGGTGAAGCTAAAACAATGGGTGACAAAGGAGTAGACGAGAGAGAAATGGAGGGAGTGTGAAAGGGGAATGTCTCTTCGTCAAAAACAACATGGTAAGAGGTGTAGATGCGATTATTTGGGACATCGAGACAGA